GCAAAACTTTTGTACCCTTCCGCCTGTTGTCACACTTATTCTATATTAAAATGACTTCTGTAATGTACCAGGAAATCAGAGGGATCAATTAGAAGTCTTTTGTAACTGTTACATTTACAGAACTGATTGGATAGAAAACGAAACTTTCTTAATGCAAATTAAAGTATGCAGGCTTTTTCATAGTCTTCAATCTTATTTATATTCCTAGTGTAGTTTTAATGTAATCATCACTTCCTGCTTCAAAATATTGTCTGCTTTGCAATTTTATTTTGATATGGAAAATTTGAGAATTATTCTGTAATAACAGAGTTGGTCCTAGAAAAGGGTTGGGGGGAAGGAGTTATTTGTGTTTAAAAATTTATTAGAGAGTGTGCGGTCATTTCTGGGCAACATGACGCTATAGTCAGAAGCACCACGCCATCCCTGTGCAGCAAAGATCTGAAAAACTAAGTCAAACAGAGTCACACGTCAATCCTGAAACCCTGAGCATCAAAGGAAGAGAGAAAGAACTCAGCCAAGCACCGAATGGAATAAGAAACTGACCGAGAACAGAGATCGAGGAGAGAGAGATATAGAGGTCCCCTGTCAGCTACCGCAGCGTGGATCGGCCATCTTGGACTCCTATCAGAGATCAGTGAACGGGGGGTACGAGAAAGCAGCTTCACGGAGCTTCCAGCAGGAGGCAGAACAACTGGTAACCAGCGATATAGGCTTTCCCACCCCCGACCCTTCTTCACCCCAACTTAGCCTTCTCTGCTTCTTGCAGCCACAGTCTCTTGGCCGGGAAGCGCCAGCTCCATCCCGGTGTCGCATGGATTCCACCCTCCCACACTGGCTGGCTCCCTGAGTGCCTTTTGTTGGCTGCTGGTGTTGCTTTTTTCCACCTCTTTAGATTTTGTCCTCACTATCTCCCCCTCCTTTCTCTCAACTACCTAGTTCTGTGTGCCATCTTTGCTTCTTCCTGAAAGGCTGTGAAATAGCACTCAACTGTGAAACTGCTTCCAGCCTGTGCTGCCACGCTGCTGGGACCCCCGGGGCTTTTTTGTTTGTTTGTTTGTTTGGTCTGATTTGTTCTGTTTTGATTTGTTTTCTTTTTCTTTTCTTGGCTTGGGAGCCCCTTCTGGCCAGGCAGTAGTGCGCGGCTTGGAAGCTACTCCCTTACTCTGTGCAGACGCACAGGGATATCCCTGTGGGCATTTCTTTTTTCTTTTTTTTGGTTTTTTTTGTTTTATTTTCTTCCCTCTCTTATTCTCTTTTTGTCTGTCTTCATTTCCAGTCTCTTGGTTTATTCATTTTTTTTCTTTTACCCTTTTTCTTTTTTCATTTTTGTTTTTCCCCTTTTCTCAGTCTCTCATCTCTCCACTCCAATAGCAAACTCCCTTAGCACTGTTTTTTGTTTGTGTGTATGTTTTTGGCTCCTCTTTCTCTCTCATCTTTCCCATACCTATCTTAGCTCCACACATCACAGTCTACCCCCCCATCCTGCCTACCTGCACTGTGCACTGAACATCATATTCCCAAGCAGCACAGGCACGGCCTACTGGAACCTGCCCTGCACTGATTCCTGGTCTGCACTGTCAGCCCTGGTATGTGCCACAAACAACCCATCCCAGCAGCTCCCCTTCAGCTGGACCTGCCCTGCTGTACCATACCTGAGTGACTGACCCCACCCATTGGAGAAGGAGGTGAAAAGTATCGAGGTCACAGATGAGCAAACAACAAAGAACACACAGCCCGCCTGCTCAGATGTAACCAAATAAAACAAAAAAGCAGGACGAAACAAACAAATCTGCAATCAGTAAATGAGGAAAATAACCACTGAATGCCCCGAAGACAGCAGACAATATCAAAACATTTACAAAAACAGGACAGGGTGGTTCCAGTAGGCATCCAAAATAAAATGCCAGATGACCTTCCAGTAGAAGAAAAGGCACTAGACCTAACTAACAGGGAATTCAGATCTCTAATATTCAGAATTATTCAAGAGTTGAAGCAAAAGGCAGACAAAAATGAGGAAAAAATAGACAAATTCATGGCAAAGGCAGACAAATTCATGGAAAATACAGACAAAAAAATGGAAGAATTCAAGAAAATAATACAGGAACAAAATGCTAAAATAAATTCACAACTAAAAATCATATAAACACAACAGTGAGAAATCCAAAAGATAAACAACAAGATTTCAGAAATGGACAGTGTCATACAAGGGCCGAGGACCAGGTTTGAAACGATGGAAGATAGAATCAGCGAAATCGAAGACAAACTTTTGGATACAACTCTGTTTGAGGAAAAATCAGAAAAAAGAATAAAGAAAAGTGAAGAAACCCTGAGAATTATGTGGGATAAAATCAAAAGCAAAAATCTGTGAGTGATTGGAGTTCCAGAACGGGGAGAAAACAGAAAACACAGAGAGGATCATTGAAGAATTGCTGACAGAAGACTTCCCCAATATCGTGAAAGATGAAAAGCTGACCATCCCAGAAGCTCAACGAATGCCATATAGGATAGACCGCAAAAGAAAATCACCAAGGCATATCATAATCACACTCGCTAAAACCAAAGACAAAGAATCCTGAGAGCAGCTCGAGAAAAACAAGAAGCCACATACAGAGGAGAAACAATAAGACTAAGCTTGGATTATTTGGCAGAAACCATGCGGCAAGAAGGCAGTGGGATGACATATATAAAACCTTGAAAGAAAAAAATGGCCAGCCAAGAATAATATATCCTGTAAAACCCTCATTCAAATATGATGGTGAGATTAGGTCATTCCCAGATAAACAGAAATTAAGGGACTATGTAAAAACCAGACCAAACTTACAGGACTTATTAAAGGAAGTCCTTTGATCTGAGAACAAACAACATCAGACCACAGGCTGAATCTAGGACACAGGATTGTACTAGCCAGATACCAACCTAGGAATGAACTCTTAAGGACTATGCAAAACCAAAAGAATTGCAGCAGGGAATCAGAGGGGTTAATCTTTAAATGACAAAAACATCAGAACAATAAAAGAGGGAATAAGTGGTGTAGGTATAGAACCTTCTAATGGAGAGGAAGGCAAGGCGATACCAAGTAATAATATACTGGTTCAAATCTGGGAAGATAAGGGTAAATTTCAAGGTAACCACAAAGTTGACAATCCTACTCATCAAAATAAAGAGAAAAACATAAAAGTCTCAGTAAAAACAATGCCTACAAAAACAAAAGAAATGAAAAAAAAATCCATAAACAAAAGGAACTCAGCACAGGAGTGTAAGAGGAACAAAGAAAACGTCAGCACCACAAAAAAAGCACTACAAAATGCAGTCCCACTCCTAGGAATATATCCTAGCGAAATAAGAGCCGTCACACGAATAGAGATATGCACACCCATATTCATTGCAGTGCTATTCACAATAGCAAAAAGATGGAAACAACCTAGATGTCCATCAACAGATGAATGGATAAACTATGGTACATACACACAATGGAGTATTATACAAAGATAAAGAACAGTGATGAATTTGTGAAGCATCTCATAACATGGATGAAACTGGAGGACGTTATGCTGAGTAAAATAAGTCAGTCACCAAAGGACAAATATTGTATGAGACCTCTACTGTAAAAACTCATGTAAAAGTTTACACACAAAAGGAAACAATCTTTGTTGGTTATGAGGGATGGGAGGGGTGGGGGGAAACTAAATAGACAATAGGTACGTGGTAACTTTGGTGAAGGGTATGACAGTACACAGTACTGGGGAAGCCAGCACAACTTACACAAGGAAAGGTCATGGAAGCTCCATAGACACTTCACTTCCAAACTCCCTGAGGAACTGAATTACTGGGCAGAGGGCTGTGGGGACCATGGTCTTGGGGAATGTCTAGCTCAATTGGCATAACACAGTTTATAAAGACAATGTTCTGCATTCTACCTTGGTGAGTAGTGTCTGGGGTCTTAAAAGCCTGTGAGCAGCCATCTAAGATACTCCACTGGTTTCACCCCTTGGGGAGCAAGGGAGAATGAAGAGAACAAGATACAAGGAAAAGTTTAGTCCAGAGGAGTAATGGACCATGGCTACCACGGCCTCCACCAGACTGAGTCCAGTACAGCTAGATTTTGCCCGACTACCACCACTGACTATTCTGACTAAGAGCACAATAGAGGGTCCTGGACAGAGCTGGAAAAGGATGTAGAACAAAATTCTAACTCACAAAAAAAAGACCAGATTTACTGGCCTGACAAATTGGAGAAACCCCGAGAGTATGGCCCCCGGACACCCTTTTAGCTCAGTGGTGAAGTCACTTCTGAAGTTCACCGTTAAGCCGGGGGTTGGACAGCCTCATAAAACAAAACCAGACTAGTGAGGCACAGCAGTCCAGGGACAAGGAGTAGAAGGCAGGCGGAGACACGAAGACTGGTGATAGGGAACCCAAGGTTGAGAAGGGATAGTGTTGACATGTCATGGGGGTTGTTAATCATTGTCATAGGGGAATATGTGTACTAACTGTTTAATGAGAAACTGTTCGTTCTGCAAACCTTCATCTGAGGTACAAAAAAAAAAGAAAAAAGGATTACCTATGTGAGATCGTATTGACAACAGGAACTCAAAAGGTTTGATGGGAAGCCTACGGCGCAGTGAGGTGAAGATAACGATGATGGAATAATTTGGAAAAGGATAGTGAGAATAGCAGCACAACTGGAAGAATGTAATCGATGTCACTGAATTGTACATGTAGAAACTTTTGAAATGGTATAACTTTGGCTATGTATATTTTCACCAAAAAAAAAAAACATCCTCCAAGGTCAAGAAGGGAGAGTGTTGACATGTCATGGGGTTGTTAACCAATGTCAGAAAACAATAATGTACTGACTGTTTAATGAGAAACTGTTTGTTCTGTAAACCTTCATCTAAAGTAAAATTAGAAAAAAAGAAAAAAAATTGTTAGAATAGTATCATTTAATACGTCAAAAGTTTTATTAAATTTTAATTCTTAATTCCTTTTTATCTATATAGGTTAATGAACTTTCCGAGGAAGAAGAGGAAGATGAAAAGCTGGAACACATAGAAGAACTTCCAGAAGAGGGTGCAGAAAAATCAAATGACATGCCAGAGGTGGTACAGTTAAGAATGACTGAAAACATCCTAGAACCAAATGGTGTTACAGCATCAACAAGGTAGTATTTCACTGTAGATGTAGACTCACCCCAGTATTAATACCGTACAAATTGTAATTGTATGTGAAGATTGACATTTGTATATAAAGAAGAGGGAGAAGAAAATTTTAAAGGAGCAGGCTTGCTAAGGAATTTTCAGTTATTAGTTTAGTATTTGTATCTTTCTTTATAACTTCTTACATATATTACTTCTTAAAATTTATTCATTTTGTTTTTGTATTAACTTGCTGATTCAGAACCTGTGGAAATAGAATTACTAGAGAAAGATATAGTGGCTGAATTGACTTGTATTACCAACTTCTAGGCTGGAAGTAGGTTGTTAAGAAAGACTCTGTGATCCACTAAAGTAGTGCTTTCCAATCCTTTTTGTGTATAAAATGACAATATTTACATGGCATATTGGGCAAATTCTATAAATGTGGTAGTCTGTAGGCACTATCCCCGCACATATCTGGGATCATAGGGCACACTATTTAGGAAGCTCTAAAGAATTTGAGAACTTCCCATAGCTCTAGGCATGCTCAATTTTGTGCTGGTTCTTTGTTAAGCTCTAGGGTTTACTAAGCCTTTCTCATTATGGGGACATAGCTCTATATTTAATCGACTAGATATTTTTCATTAAATTTGTGGTCAAAAAGCACAGGAAATAATGAGAATCAAAAGGCAAAATGTCTTTAAAAAATAACTGGTAATATTAAAAGGAGGAGCTCTCCACTGTGTGTTAAAAAATTAGAAAATAATCTAAAATGTATATTGCTGAATAAAATTATTATATTTCTCTATGGGCCTATAGATCTTTATGTTATGTATGATTTTTTCAAACATGATTTTTAATAATGGTATATTAACACCTTTATTCAATCTTGCCCTTCAACATTTTGTTTATGGTTTTCTGTGTGTTTACATGACTTTCTAATTTATTTTTTGATAACCTCTTAACTATTTTATATAATAATTAAGATATTTATTAACTATGCATTAAAATATTTAACTGTATGGCACAATGGGTTAGCGCTCGGCTACTTATGGAAGGGTTGGTGATTAGAACCCATCAGTGGTTCTGTGGGAGAGAATACCTGGCAGTCTGCTCTGGTAAAGATTACAGCCTAGGAAATCGTATGGGACAGTTCTACTCTATCATCTAGAGTCTGTATTAGTTGGAATCGACTCCATGGCACACAGCAATGACAGCAGCATATTTTACCCAAGCATTCTTTTTTTGGACATTTTGAGTTTTGTTCCAGCTAGCTTGTCAGTATTATATTGCTACTAAAGAATCTTTGTTCTTAGGCCCTTTTTTTCCTTCTTTTGAATTATTTGCTTTGGATAAATTTCCAGGTGTGGATTTCTTGGGGCCCAAAGAGTGAATTTTCCTATGAGTTTTGGTAACCATTTCTAGACTACATAAAAGACTTGGCCCAGTTTACGTTGCCGTCAGCAGTATTTTCTTGAAGACCTAACAACACTAGATTTACATGGGTGTTTTTTATTTTGTAATTTTGAGCTGTACTCCTAATAGTCACTAACTACATGTGGCTACTTAAATTTAAACTTAAATTAAAATTAAATAAAATTTACAGTTCATTTCCACTATTGCAGTAGCCACACTTTTTACATGCTCAGTAGCCATATGTGGCTACCATATTGAGCAGTGCCGATGTAGAACATTTCCATCATCACAGAAATTTCTGTAGAACAGTGTTGATTTACAGGGTAAATTCATTAAGGATTTTTATTTATTTAATTACCAGCAAGATTAAATAGTGTTTCAAATGACTAATAGTTTATTCTCTTTCATATCTGTCTAGTTTTGTAGAGGATCCTCTTCCCCTCCAACACAATCATTTTAGATGGATTCATTGGAGTTTTGGTGGTTGACAAGATTGTTTAATTGCAAGTCCTAGAAACAGACCCTGGTTAAGTAAAGAATAAAAGCAATTTATTAGAAAGATGCTGAGTAGGTTGCAAAGTCAAAAGGAAAATCTGAATAAGTAGGCCTTGGCAAAGATAACATGGGCAGCCCTGGAGAATCTAGTAACAGAAGGTCATGGAAAAATGTCTTTAGCATGTAGCTGTTGCTGTGACAGCTCTGTCTCCCTCAGTGTCTCATTCTGCTCAAGAACAGATTTTTGAAGGGGGCATGGAGAGGCTGGCCTAAATTGAATCAAGTGTTCACCCCCTTGGCTAGGGTCAGGCTGGTCATTATAATTTGTGTGGCCACCAAGACCATGTGGAAATAGAGGAGGAGTTAGTTTCCTGCAGGAAAACCAGACTATTACCAAAAGAAGTGGGTACAGATTTTGAGCAGCAGAAGGAAATGTTTACCACAGTGGTCTACTAGATTTAGTCATGATATTTATATATTTCAGTTAACATTTATACATTTTTATTTTAGTTTTGGCTAATTGGATAAAGATTAAAAAGTACATATAACTACTTTTTTGGTAGTATCTTGCTTCAGTAGCCCCTGGATGGTGCAAATGGTTAACACACTCAGCTGCTAACTGAAAGGTTGGAGATTTGAATCTATCCAGACTTGCCTTAGAAGAAAGGCCTGGTGATCTAGCAGTGAAAACTCTGTGTGCACAGAGTCGCCGTGAGTCAGAGTTGACTCGACGGCGACTGGCTTATTGCTTCAATAATTAAACATTATATTAAGAATAGTACTTTTTAGGTACATAAAACATCTCATTATAATTGAGATAACTACTCAGTTTTTAGTTGAAATTTACTTATGTAAGTTTTAAGTTTTTTAACTTTCTCTTTGAAGTAAGAACAACCATGGTGTATAGTGCTTTTAGACCTTTCCAATTTTTACTCCAGTTTGTTATTAAATATGCATATATTAAAACTTTTAAAAATTTTCTGTTCTTACCCACACTTATTTCCATGGCAGCTTGAGTTAAGGACTAAAGATTGGGTTTGTTTATAGATGAATTTCCTATTTAATTAAAAAGAAATCAAAATGCATGTCATTTCATAAATGTTTAATAAAAGTTTGCTGAATGATTGAAAAAATAATATGGAATGAAGTATATATAGCTAGTTAGAGGGAACAGATGCTTTTGAATGGCCTTCTACAAAGAATGATTAGGTTTAGATACCAGGATTCTTTTTTTTTTTTTTAAGATACCTTTTTAAAACTATTTTATTTCTGATCCCAAGCAATTATTTAAGTTTCTTATTCTATTTTTTTTTTTTTTTTTTTACAAAAATACCTCATCGAATCCATTTGGTTTGACAAGTACTAAATGTACACTCTTTTTAAAATTAAGTCAAATCTTGTCTCTCCTTTGATTTAAACCCTTCAGTGTCTCCCCATTTTACTCACAATAAATGCCAGCAAGGTTCTGTCTACACAGTCTGGCTTTCTCCACTTTTCCGACTTTCTCTTTTCAGTGCTCTCCTTCTGGTAATTCTCCTCTAGCATGGCAGAGTTCACAAGTTCTCTAGCATGTTCCACCTCAGAGCCTTTGCAGTGACTGTTTGCTCTGTCTGGATAGATGTACTCCCCCATGTATCTGCATGGTTCTCTCACCTCTTTCACTTCTTTGCTCAAATGTCACTTTCTTAATGATGCCTCCATGTCCCCCATTCCTGATATCCCTTGCCCTGTTCTGTTTTGTCCGTAACAGTTATGACCTTATAACGTATGTTTATTATGTTATTGTCTATCTTCTAGCACTAGAATTTAAGCCACATGACAACAGGGTTTTGTTCACTCATGTATTTACAACACTTAGAATAGTGTCTACCACAAAGTAGATGTTTAATAAGTACTGAATGTTGAATAAATGGGGATTTAGAAGCAAGATAGAGTTTTCTTGATCTCAACTTAATTACTAGATAGCAAAATGTGCTAGTTTTTCAAGACAGAAGAAATGTAATATAAATTCTTGGATTATCTGCTTTGGGTAAAAGAAAATGTATATCTACCTTAGGTGAAAGAAAATGTGTATGGAATGCGTAGGGCCTAGCATCTAGGGGGCTCTTAATTTGTTCTGATGAATTAGTTGATACTGTATTGCTTGAAATTGGAGATAGAAGTTTTGGTAGCTAGCATGTGTTATTATTATTTTTTTAAAAATTGTGGTAAAATATATATAACAGAAAATATGCCACTTTAACCATTTTTAAGTGTACAATTCAGTGACATTAATTCTGTTGACTGTGTTGTGCAACCATCACTGCTATCTATTTCCAGAAGATTTTTGTTACCCCAACATAAACAAAACTCCGTACCCCTTAAGCAATAACTCCCCATCCCTGTTTCCCTCCACCCCTGGTAATGACTAATAAACTTTTGTGTCCATTCTAGATATTTCATATAAATTAGATCATATAATATTTATTGTTTTGTGTTTGGATTATTTCACTTAGCATCTTTTCAGGCTTCATGTTATAGCATGTATCATAACTTCATTTCTCTTTATGGCTGAATAATATTCCATTGTATGAATAATACCACATTTTGTTTATCCATTCATCTGTGGATGGACACTTAGGTTGTTTCCAGCTTTGGGCTATTGTGAATAATGCTGCTGTGAACATTGAGGTGCAACCCGTCTGAGTCCCTGCTTTTGATTCTTTTGGGTATATACCTAGGAGTGGAATTGCTGGGTCATATGGTAGCTCTGTGGAGTCCTGGTAGCGCAGTGGTTAAGAACTCGGCTGCTAACCATAAGGTCAGCAGTTGGAATCCACCAGCCGCTCTTTGGAAACCCTGTGGGGCAGTTCTACTCTGTCAGATAAGGTCGCTATGAGTCGGAATCAACTTGACAGCAATGGGTTTGTTGTTTTTTTGTATGGTAATTCTGTGTTTAACTTTTTTATTATTATTATTATTTTGCTTTAGGTGAAAGTTTATAGCTCAAGTTAATTTCTCATACAAAAATTTATACACGTATTGTTATGTGACACTAGTTGCAATCCCTATAATGTGATAGCACAGTCCCCCTTTCTACCCCGTGTCCATCCAACCAGCTCCTGTCCCTTCCTAT